AGGATGGAATATTTTTTTCTATTCTCTGAGGATAGAAACAAGTATTTATATGATTATTATTGGGAATTTTTATTTCTTTCCTTTATTATGTCTGCTTTCCTTAATTTCTTTGTGTTTTGGTTCTTATATATATTTGAAGCTTCTGAATGACCTAGATTATTTTGTTCCCACTATTTCTTTTTCTTATTTATATATTTATCTTTCTTAAAGTTAGGAACTTTGCTTATATTCTGGTGTGTGTTTATTTGTTTTGTTTTGTTTGTTTGTTTGTTTATTTTGAGAGAGAGTCTCGCTCTGTTGCTGAGGCTGGAATGCAGTGGTGCCATCACAGCTCACTGCAGCCCCAAACTCCTGGGCTCAAGTGATCCTCCTGCCTCAGCCTCCCGAGCAACTGGCTCTGCAGGTGTAAACCCCAAATCTCCTTCTTCATTTTTTACAAGCAAAGCACTGAAAACCTGACTGGAAGCCTGGTGACATGGGTAGTACTTGTTTACTAGGAGATTTCACTTGAAGACATAGGGCAGGGAACCATTTTTCAAGGGACACTCAACTGTCAGTGTGTATGCATCTCTTTTCTGGGCATGTTCAACTTCTTCAAATAAGAATATTTTATTACACTACTGTGGGTGTAGCGTGAGGTTGTTGTGCTGTGCCCAAGGCGGTGGAGAGGTGTTGAGAGACAATTCTTCATGGGTCTCCAGCATTCCTGCACATCTTATATTAACTTCTCTTTTGGATTATCTTGTCAAAACTGTTTGTACAGTGATCAGCTCTAGGAGATAGAGATAAAGTCTCCCTTCTGGGTCAGAGAGAAGATTTGTTTGCTGTCCAAGATAATAAAGATACTGTCTCCCTCTGGGTCAAAGGCTGACCAGGTTTGGCAGCAGCCTCTTTAAAAGACTGGAATTTCCTAAGCTCTTGGATCGTAGGTGTGACGCAAACCCATTGCATGTGCAGCGTCCAGCAGCTGTTCCGCACCACTGTTGGGAAACTGGGGTGTGGAGAGAGGGTAGCTTATAGGAACATGAAGCTCATGCTGACCGCTGCATTGTGAGCATCAAAGTATCGTGTCTCTAGTCCAGTGTCTCTTGTATTTTACTAGTATTCATGGTGTCAGGCTAACTTCTTAGCTTGCAAGCATAATAAAGTCTCATAATATTAATAGTTCTGGACAAGAGAAACTGGATAATTGATTCTATCAGTATATATAAAAAATATATAATTATACTATTATACTATATTATTATATATAATATAATTTACATTATATTATATTTAAATTATTCTCTCTTTTCAACCCTGCATCTCATCCCACTCTTGATGTGCCATGTGATTCCAAAGCTCAAGGTCTTCTCATTTAGTTTCTTAGGACAAACTTTTGGTTTCCTGTCAAAGTGGACAGTGCCTGGCTGCTAGCATTTTATGCACTGTTTACATGGTCTGTGAAGGGCAGGCATAAGCAATTTCTGTTCAATCATAAACCATTTGCCTACAACCCCATTTCCTGCCCTGGGTCTCATCTACTCACACTCTCTGGTCATAATTTTTGATATATAAACTGGAAGAGAGAGTATAATAATTGAAATTTGAAGAAGGCAAATATACTGTCCATGTTCAGATATGGACAAGCAATAATTCCATGTCTAGAAACTTTAAGTTAGTAAATTTAACATCTGCCTTCTTCTTACTCTACCATTACATGTGTAAACATGTTCATAAAATATATTCATAATTCAATATTAAATATTCAGATTTTTGAGACTTTGTAAGGCAGGTTGTCTGTTATTAGGAAGTAACATGAGTTTATTATGGGCAAAGCCTTATAAACACCTTTTATCTTTTTTTTTTCCCCAGAGAAGAATGTGTTATATAAGAAGTAAGTGAAACTCTCTATATGAACTTGAGAAGCTCTGACATTACCATGTAACCATTTGTTTGTCTTATGTTTCCATTATTGGAATGTGATTGTCTTTTCTTGTTCAGGTTACTATATGACAGTATATATCCCATGACAGTTACTATACATCTTCAATATATGATATGCAATGATTATATGTCCTTCATCATATTTCCTCTTTCTTTAAAGTTACTTTATAGCTTGCTTTTTAATGTTTTCATTAGTGAATAATGCCCCTTCAGTGTTTCAAATTAAATAAGATAACACCAACTGGATAGAATGGGAACCTGTTTATTCTACTAAAAGCTTAAGTCAGTTCTGAGGCCATTGACAGAGGGCAAAAGAGATCTATGTTGCATCTCAGTGTTTGTCAGTGCATTTTATAGGGAACGATGGGATGAAGAAACCCCCTTGACTATTAGTCTCCTGCTATTTCTGTTTTAATGAATTGAAATTAATTGAATAATATCTGGAACAGATAAGAATATATTCCCCCAATTTTTAAAGCCATAAGTAATTGGCTGGGTCAATTATTAATAGAATGCTGGAAGAGGAAGATCATTTGATATTAGCATTGAATTTCAAAGTCTTCAGTTAACATATGGATTAATGTCTACATGTTAACCTTATGTATAAGATGCCAACAAGAGTGATAAGTGATGGTCCAATGCATCTATAGCTGGTTTAATAGTGGTTATCAAAGAATGTTGTAAAGCTCCCACAATTAATATGGCTATGTTCACTTGTCCGTCACTTCTTAGGAAGACCAGATTCTGTTCACAATCCTTCCTTCTTCTACTTTAAAAGAGAAGTGTTGAAAGCTTATTATAAGCAATGAAAACTGTCTTTGATGCTGTCTGTCACTATCCTGCCCATACAGCAGTAAAAGGTCCAGTTTTCTGGCCACGTGGGTTACTCCTTTACCCGGACAGCTGGGTGTGGGAACCCATGCAGCTGAGAATGGAAATATACCACCTTGAACTCAGTTATCTAATTATTTCAAAAACACTGGCCTCTGCCATTAACTTACCAGCTGTGTGGCTATGGGCAAGTTATTTAAATTTAGGGCTTTTAAAATTTCTAATTAATAGAAAGTAATATTTGCATGTCACGGTTATTATATGTTAAAATAAACTACCTGCAATATATCGGTGCTCCTCGGGGAATGAGAGGGAAAGAAAAGATTGCTTCCTTCTCTGTCACAGTCCTTGCTTCCTGCAGAAGAGGCCACTGCCTCTTTCCCACCATGTCCCTGCAAAGAGTTCTGGTCACACTCCCATTCAACACGGAAGAATTTATTTTCTCATACTTTTCCAAGTCACACAATTAAAAACGTTGCTTACTTGGAGATTTAGAGTAGCGATTTTTACCTTCAGCGAATTTTTTGGTCTCTTCATATGGTGTATCTTTATTGAAGCAATGGTCTGCATTTTCTGAATTCTTCACCCTACTCTCATGGCAAACATTGATGATGTACTATGTGTCTCTAAGAGTCTATTCTGTGAACTTCCCTTAGAATACTTCCTCGATTTGTCTCTAAACTCAAACCCATCCCGATCCACAGTCCTGTTGACCCCTTGGGGTGTCTTCTGTTACTCGTTTCGATGTCTGATATTCTGTCTCTGCTTATTCTCCATTTAATTCACGTGTTCTTCCTCTCTCCTTGGGCTTCATGGCATTCGTTATCAAAGCGAGAATGTGTTAGACGGAGCAGGGACTCTTCCTGCCAGGGACTCAATGGAGCGGGTAGCAATGTGGTGGGAGTGGACACAGTGTTTGAACCTGTTCCCTTCTCTTGCAGGTGTGCTTCTGAGTTTGGGCAGGGCTTGCTACGGGAAATAAATAATTTGTGGGAAAACATAATACTCTCAGACACCCCTATGGCCCAACAAATGTAAAAGTTTGTAGATACGCCATCCTATTATTTATCTTCTGGGAAGACGTGTTTTTTTCTGTTCTAAAGGTTGACCTCAGCCAGAAGGGCCATGATTCCTGCCTTTCCTTTTCTCAGGGAATGATCTTCCCCTCCCCTACAGCGGGGTCTGTCGCAGAAATGTTGCACAGTCCTTTTTCCTTCTGACAGCTCCTCTTCCTTGTTTGCTTTTATCCAAAATCAGCTCAACTCCTATGTCTCATACAAACTTACTCTTGAATATTGCAATCCACCTTCATTTATGTTTTCCTCTGATTTCCTCCACATAAAAATTTAGCACTGAATCACACATGCCTGTTTTGTCTTGTTGATAGTTTTGCAAATTCCCTGAAGCTTGGGATTTCTAACACCTTTTACAATTCTTTTGTATTTTCAAAGCAGAAAAGGCTCTGTTCATATTTAATGATGGAATAGTATGTATTTTATTCTTAAAAATAGACAATTTCTACAAATGACTGTGAGGACAGTTATAGGCTGGCTAATTCTTACCACCTCCTGCATCAGAGTTTGTTTCTTCCCTGATCAGAATTTTTCCAACAAAGCATGATTGACCAGACAACCTGGAGAAAGATTTGTTTTTATCTGAGTCTTCCACTTTGAGTCAACGATTCAAATTCTACAAACTTTCTCTCTTTTTTAAAAAAAATTTTATTATTTATTTTTTTAAAATTTCAGAATAATATGTGGGTGCAAACTTTCTCTTGAATCGGCACCCATAGAATAAAGTCTCTCTGGAGAATTTTGGATGGTTAGCGCCCTCTAGTGAAATATCAGCTGAGTGCAAAGTCACTGGGCAAAGCAGAAAACACACAGTGAGAGGGACTCTATAGGAAAGGGAAGGAAAAATTAATGAAAAATGCTAAGCGGAGCTTCAGTGTGAATATATGAGAGGAAATCTTCTTGTTGGGGTCGAGTCTCATGAACTCAGGTTGGGGACAACACATGAAGGTGGGCAGGTTGACTTCAGAATGGCCCCCGACTTGGCAAGGGGAGAAAAACGGCTCACGCTCTCCTGGCAGAGATGTGTACGTGCCTAAGGGGCTGATGTCTCTCCCTAGTGGCCACCTTCCTCTAAGTGGCACCAGTGTGCCCTGGGAGCCAGCTCCAGCCGACTGAGAGTCACTTCCCTCAGACGTCTGCTCTTTTTGTGCAGAGAGGATGTGGCCAGGCCGCGCTGTGGTAGCGGCTGGCGCAGAGGTACACAGACGTCTGGTTGGTGCCGGCAGACTCCAGAACCAGGGGGAAACGGTCCTTCTGCTTCCTGGAGGCACTATACGCCTCCCAGACATCTCCTTTTTCTTCACTGCCCACATCAAATGAGAAATAAATCAGCCGTAGCCCTAGACCTGGGTCTTGTCGATACCAGAACATTCTTTCATGGTCCATGTCCTGTGAACATTCCAGCAAAACCTTCTCTCCCGTCCTCTTGATCAGATGCCCCGGAGTCTGGGTTACCTCTGCATCCACGAGGCCTGTGAGAGAAGGATTAGAGGAGGCGAACAAACAGGCCACCAGGAAGCCTGAGAGGGAAAAGTCTTGTATCCGAGGCCTGGCAGTCATGGGACAGGGTTCGCCACCAACTCCTCAGACCCATCAACTCTGCACAAGCCTACTCCCAGGACTCACCTGCTCCCAGGAGATAAAAGGCCACGCCACAAAGCAGGCGGATTCCCATGGCAGTTTTGAGGAAAGAATGAGCGTTCTCCCAGCACCAGGCTGTAGGTTGACTGTCTGTGATGTCATTGTCCCTGCCCACACTCACACTCTCGGTCCTTCAGCCATTGTCTAGACTAGAGAGAGTCCGTGCACGGTGTGTCTATGTGAGTGTGTGTGTGTGTGTGTGCACGTGCGTGTGCATGTATGGGAAAGAATTAACCCGACAGGCCGGGGACTGCTATTCATAGAAGAGCCTGCTTGCACAGCTGGGCCTTGGTCTTGCATCTGGGAACTGGAATTTCAGGCATGCTCCCACCACTTAGTAACTGGTGAGTGTGGCTCACCGCACCTAGACTGCTTGCATCCACAGTGTGGTGTATGCCACGCGCCTGCTCTGCTTCTTTGAGTCTGGAGCTTTGGTGCACGCCAGGTAGAGAGGGCCTGTGTGTTTGGCCGTATTAGTTTGCTAGGGCCGACGTAAGTCACCACACACTGCATGGCTTCAACAACAGAAATTTGCTTTCCCACAATTCTGGAGGCTAGATGCCTGAGATCAAGGTGTCCGCAGGGTGGATTTCTTCTGAGGGCCTCTCTCCTTGGGTTGCCGACAGCCGTCTTCTCTCTGAGTCTCCACATCCTGTTCCCTCTGTGTCCTCACTCCCTCTTCTTACAAGGACACTAGTAATATTGGTAAAGGGCCCACCCCAATGCCCACATTAACCTTACTCACCTCTTTAAAGACCTTATCTCCAGATATAGTTATTAATGCATTCTGAGATACTGGAGGTTAGGACTTCAACATAGGAATGTTTAGGGACATGGTTCAGCCCCTAACACCAGCCACCAAAAGTATCTGGGGTGCCGAGACTCTGATGGGCTTCCCTAGGTGGAAGTAATGCTCCCACCTTGCTGCATTTTCACTTCTGGGGTGAGCGTGTGCTCCCCAACAGGAGGCGGAGAACACAGGGCAGGGCACATGGACTTCTCCAAACTCCACCTGTGTCGTTCCTGCTTGTGCTCATAGCATCCTTACCACGTCCCTGGAATACATGCATCTCAGCTGTAAGTACCTTGAGTCCTTCCACCGAGCCTCTGAAAGAGGGGTTAACTTTTTTCCTCATCAACTCTGATTAGGAAAATGTTACCAATCCTTCCTCCCTCCCTCTCCCATACATTTCTTTCCCAACACTTGTAGTTTTGCATTCAACACATTTAATTTAATAATAATAGTTATTTCAAGTAGTGGACTGGCTAGAAGGACAGGCTTTGGAGCTGTGGTGCCTGGGTCTGAAATCTGGCTCTTCTACTTCCTGCCTGTGACCATGGGCATGTTCTGGGCCTCAATGTTATTACATGGAAAGAGGAACCAACGAAAGTGGATCTTGCAGAGTAACTGTAAGAAGGCAAGCTGATACATATAAACTGGTCATAAGCCATGCATGGCTCCATAAAGGTAGCCGTGAAAAGCATTGGTGCTTGTTACTACTACTATCGTCTATCGAATACTCATTTTGTGTAAGGCAGTATGTTAAAATTCTTTACTAATGTAAGATTTCTTTTATTTTAACATCCTTATGTTAGACTTTGGGGTCTTTGTCCTTTAGATTTGCCTTCCAAACTACTTCTGTAGGAATTGTTTTTCAATGAATTAAGTGTAGTTTTAAGTGTAGTTTTAATTACTACATTAAACTACACTTAATATGCCCTCTTCAGCCACGAGGGACATTAAACTGTGGTCATTACCATGCGTCCTGTGCCATCTCTGTAGATCCTTCTCTGAGCCTCGCAACACTTTTATAGTAGCTACTTCACTCAAGGCTTAACTGACCTGCTAGGGAGGAAAAGCTGCAAACTTCAAGGTAATTCTAACATCAGCAATCAATTCTTTTCTCCTACATACCAGATGAATCTCTTAACCAGAAGAGGTATGTCTGACTTTGTGTTCTGGGTCAAATTCTGTCTTCCTCTTATGCTACTTTCTGCTTTTGTAATGATTTACTCTAGCAGTTAGGAGGTTTTATTGGATTCAAGCCGTTCCCGGCCACACTGAACACACCTTTGCATCCAGGTTGGCATCTTGCATTGCAGCGTCACCAGCCCCTTGGTCCTCCTTTTCCACGTGTCTGTCCTTAAATACAAATAGGAATTAGTGCAATGACAATATTTAGTTTTGGATATTTCTGTTCTAATTGTTACTGGTTTGCTTCCACAGAATTAGAAACTTAGAGATGATTATCCCAGTGGGCAATAGGCTAATTCCGTTTACAAAATGCCTCCCTTTCCCATGCTGCTGCCTTGGTGGCGATGCTAGCAATGGTACAAGTGCCCCATGTGCAGGTCCACCTGCTGGGGTGGTGGAGACAGTGCTGTCCCAACAGTGGGGTGTGGGCTTGCACTCTCTAGGTGCAAGCAATAGAGAGTGTACTGTCTGCAGAGAATGTATAAAGAACAATAATACCCAATTAAAATGGTTCTCTGCTTTTATGATCACCATGTGCCAGAAATTCTAAATAATTTTGGTGATAAAAGACTCCTTCTGTGCAATATTTGTCCTCTTGTCACTGGCTAATTTTATAAAGTGTAATGTCAAACACATAGAAGCAGAGAATAGAATGACAATTTCCAGGGAAGGAGGAGAGAGGGAAGTGGAGTGTTGCTATTCAACTGGTTTTGGTTACACAAGGTGATTAAATTCTAGAGCTCTGTTGTGTAATGTTGTGCCTATAGTTAAGAGTACTGTATTGTACACATAATATTTTGTTTAAAGGGTAGATGCCATGCTAAGTGTTCGTACCATGATTAAAAGAAATCTTGCCAGGTGATTTTGCTATACATTGAGAACCAACGATCAAAAAACAAAAGGGGCAGATACAGATGTCACTGTGAGGCTTATACTATATTTTCCAGTAAATTTTTACTTGTGGTTTATTTCACTTATATCATCCATTAAAATGTCTTAATTGGTATGCACAACACAAACCAATCACAATCATACACAGTTTCTAAGTGTTTTGCAATAATATAAAATACTCATCATAATGGTTCAGACCATATTTCTTAGTTTAGACATTAGTGTAAACGTCTACTATCCTAATCCAGTGGGCTTAGCCTTACCATAAATCCAGCATACTGACACAGCTACTCAACACAAAAACCCTCTGAACTTCAGATCCACTGGCCTATTTGCTTACACAAAGGGTTTTAAATCAGTAAGTAAGTCATGCTTATCTTTATTAAAATAGGTTTTTTCTTTACAAGAATTGTAAAGTCTAAAAAGCTTCTGTTGTTGGCAAAATCCATAAATACATAACATAGTCTGATCGGCTTAAATGAAAGGTATTAGACTAAGATTGAAATTGTCCCCTGGCACTCAGGCAAATGAAAGGAGAGGCCTGGGGGCTCTCGCGGGGCTCCGCGTGGAAGGCGGCCTTCTCCAGCAGGTGGAGCTCGGGGAGCTGGGTGGATGCGGGTGGGCTGTAGTGAAAGGCCCGGGCTGAGGAAGCCTGTGGGAGCATCACACAAGCAGGAAGGAGAGAGGATGGGGACAGCCAACCACAGGTGCAGTCCCCCACAGCGACCTGGGCATGGACTCCTACTGACCGGGGCCCTCGGAGCGCCAGAGGCCTCGGTGCAGGGCACTGGGAAAGCCTTCGGTGGGCTCCGGAAAGGAGGGCCGCATCTCCCCCTGTGAAAACCCTTTCTGTGCAGAGAGGAAGTGGCCGAGCAGTGCGGCAAGTTGACAGCTGGAGGCGTGTCTGGGAGGGGCTGGACGTCTGAAGGTCAGGAGGAATGCTCAGTCTTATCTCAAGATACACAGGGTCTCTCAGAAATGTCCCACCTGTTAGCACTGTGGGCACCAACTGTGTAATAGATTAATTGTAGTCTCATTCCTGGCTCTTATCACAAATAGGTCATAGAACATATTCTGGTCGCATCATGGGTCCCCTTCTTTTCTGACCCTGAAACCTGATAAATGGGGATTTCAATGACACTGGCATTTGTGAACATTGTGGATAAAGAGAGAGAGGGAGAGAATGCTTAGGAAGGATGCAATGGCTTCATGCAGGGTCTGCCAAGCCAAGTTCAAGGACATCACAGCTGCGCCTGTGATCTACCTATTCCAAGGAGACAAAGGGCTACAGATGGGGGGAGCCTGGGCCCACTGCAGGTGAGTTTACGGTGGTGTCTGGCTCTGTCTAGCTCTGTTCAGGCTGTTATATGAGCACATAGTGGAGAAACTAGCCCGGTCAGGGATTCAAGAAAATCAACTTGGAGGAAATGACTTATAAATTGGTATATGCGGCAATCATTAGCTAGGTTGCCAGGTGAATGCCAGAGAGAGGGAGGGCGCTCTGGGTACAGTGTCCATGGCAGATGAAGACTAAGGCATGAGTCAGTGTAGGACCCATTCGGGACCTTGGGAGAAGGGGGATATTTCTGGAGACAGCGCAGGCAGTCGTGGCAGCTGGAGGGAAGTCGAGTCATGGCTGGGAAAGTGGGCAGGTGTACAAAGGCCACATCACACAGGGTGCTGAGAGACTTGTTAATCAACATAAGCTGGAGACTTTACCTAGTTAAGACACCAAAGGGTTCTAAGCTCCAGAAAGTGCTTGTGGGAGGGGACAGGCAGCAAGCTGGCAGGTAGGGTGACTACTTAGAAGGTGGCTAGAGGAATCCAGGTGAGAAGTGACCTTTGCTGCACTATAGTATTATCAGTGAAGTTATAAAAAAAAAAAGCCAGTGAGAGATGTGAGGAATATAATGCTTAGAAATGTGTAGGGTGGGGTGATGGGCTATTTGTGGAAGGACAGTGTCAGGGAGACAGTGACGGTCACTCCTGCATCTTTGGCTTGGGTGTTTGGGTGATGGCAGGGCCACCTGCTGAGGTGAAGAAAATGGGAGACGCTGGATCCAGTAAGAAGCTTAGAACACGGTGTTCCCCCAAGTGACAAAACATCCAGGAACAGAACCTGGAATACGGGACCACATTTTGCTGAGAGTGGTTGGATTGGAAATGGA